CGTTACAGTCATCGGACGCGTAAAGTGTGTTCTTATATGAACATTTTGGACGCCTAAAGTGTGTTCAGAAGTGAATATCCAGGCGTTACGATATGAATATCAAGCGTTCATGTGAAAATGGGACGCGTCAATGGTGTTCAAAATCCGTTACAGTTTAAGCGTTCTAGAATGGCGTCCAAGGTGTTCTTATATGGCGTCCTTAGTGTTCATTTGGTTTACAGTGTACTCATATGAATAGGATGTAAAGGTGTTCTAATGACTTGGAAAAATAACAGTTTGTTCCACATGTCAATAATTAATTCAAGCTAAATTAGAAGAGAATTACCAGCAGAATTCCAATGATTGAAAAATCTTTTTTTTGTTTATCCAGACTGTACATACATGGACATTTATTATTGGTTAAAACTCTTAATTATATGCAATAAAGATATGTTTTAGAATACATGTTAATTCATTAAAAGCACCAATTAATCAAAATAATAATTTGACACTAAAATACAAGGAAATCCTACTTTAAGAGAAAATGTCTTCAACATCACAAAAATCACAGAAATTTTGTAGGAGAGCCGATTGGTGAAAAAATCGGTCATTAAGTTATCAGGAAATGGAAATAAACAAATGAACGTTTTCAGAGTTATTACCCTTGACCTAGTAAAGACGGGTTAAATTTGGCTTGTAAACTCGATAGATGCTACAATTTTTATCCAATCTTGATGAAACTCGGTGTGCATGAATACATTGACGAAAGTCAAGTTCGAAATGTGTAACAATTGGATGAACTGTTTTGGAGTTTTGGCGCTTGACTTAGAAAAAGCGTGTCAAATTTGGCTTTTATATTGGTATATTTTGATTAGATCTCAGTCGAGTGAGAAATTGGTAACAATCAGATGAATGTTTTCAGAGTTATTGCCGTTGTGTGTGCGTCGATCAGACATTGTTTATGTTTGAATTTGATGATAATTTGATGTAACTGCTTTTGAGTTTTCGCTTTGACTTATAAATAATCTTAAGATGAATTGAAAGTTCATTATAAGATTTTCTGTCCTTTCTGACAGCTGATAGTGGGCGTATGTTACCTTGCCTGTCAAGCTATCTTAACTAAATTGCCCGATGTAAGCTTAGACATTAACAAATTTCATGTCATCTGTGTATCATTCCTTATGAAAAAGAATTGGAAGAGTCTCAGCTAGTTACAGATGTAAGAAAGAAACAAACATTTACAAGGGTAATGATAAAGGTTCATGTCTTCACGAGGATCCTTTCTACCAGCTGATCTTCTCAGGAATATAAATACCCATTTACAGCTGGTATTTCTTATTTAAAGATGAGTTTCTTTATTTTTGAGTGTCAAATTATGCAAACTATTTGATTAATTGATGTTTCTAATGAATTATCATGTATTCTTTTTTTTCTTTTTTTTTTTATTAATAATACAGTAGCAGGCCTATAGCCCATAGTACATATGATTAAACATATATAAATATAAATATAAAAATAAATATATGTATTTAAATACATATTACATAGTCAAATTTTTACATATAGATTTAGTAAATTTCATAATTGAGATTTAACAAAGTTTTCCCTAATTCTTGAAGCTCTATAAATAAATTCAGCAAGATTTAAATTCTGGTTAGCATCATTCATAAGAATTCTATAATCATTTGTACTGAAAATTAGCTTACTTCTATCACCTTGCTATTAGAGTGTTTGTAACAAAATTCACATTTCCTATCATTTCTATCAATTGCTTTCCAGCGTCCAGTTTCAATCGCTAATTTATGACATCCACATCTAAATCGAGACAAAGTATTCCTGAAACATTTACTATTGATGCTACTTAAATATTGTTCGCATGTCAAAGTA